ATTATTTTAAAACACAGGTGTTAACAGATCAAGAGATGCAATATACAGGTGTTTTTTACTGAAACGAAAATATTCTGTTAATGTCTAAACAACGGTTACTTAAAAAGAGTTAAAGCGCGAGGGTCGTCGCCTGCGCACGCGCTGGAGTTGAGTCCCAAGCAACGATAACAACACACACTAAAAACGCAAAGACTTATGGGTAGACGCTTGTTTGTAAACAATGACACGCTATGTCCATCTGACGCATACGCAGGTGACGACTCCCCCGCTTTAACCAAGCCTACACCTAGTCGTTGGTGTCGATTTTGCTGTTAAAATGGCTCGGACAACATACGCTGAACATATTATGTACCTGTTTTCATTTTTTTTATTTTTTTGCGACGGCACATTTATAACGCCTAAGCCTATTTGTCTCCATTTTTCCACCATACATTGGATATCATTCCTACGTGGGACACACACAGCTAAACATATGCGTTAATAAACACATGTTTACAGACACAATTTTGCGCTTGATTTTGTTGATAAATATTACTTTATCTATTATTGGAACTTGCTTTCGCCAAATTAGTTGCTTGACAATGTAAATCATCAAAAATAAAAACCCATTTTGCATAAAATTTATGACAATTGGGATAAAATAAATTACATGGGTATAAATAGTTTCTTGCCTAAAGCTGTGTTTTTCTGGAACGAAAATATTGTATTTAGCATTCCCAAAAACAATTCGGAATTATAAATTTTGTACATCTTTATAAAAAAAAACAGTATTTTGGAACGTTTTTTTTTTTTTGGAATTAAAGAAAACACTAGAGTGCATGTTATTCTTACTTGTACGTACATTGTATATGTAAATCGCACGCGCAACAAATACACCACAGAACAGGCGAGTGTTGCGAGGGCGTGGTCCGAAACAACTCTTTGATTCATTTGATAATTTAATTTATTCAAATTAGTCTCTAACCACTCAGTGGCCAGGACCTCACCTGCTTTACGACTTCACTGCTTAAAATAACTCAGCAACACACTAAAACGTTCAGGCCAGCTGCTTTGCAGTTTGCAGTGAGAAGTTATGGCCAGTAATATCACCAGCTGCAACACGGTGGCTAATTGCCTATTCACACAGTCAATCACTTGGCCGGTGTACAAAGGCGGAAAACAAAAGAGTGAAAAAAACCTCCACAATATAAAAACTGCATTTCTCTCTATTCTGTGTTTAAAAAAAACATGGTGAGGTCACGTCGCCAAGAAGAAGCAGATAGGTGTCAATTGAGAGACAGGTATGGCGGAAAGAGGACAGGATACGATGGAAAAAGGCAGGATATGATTAGTGGTAAAATGCGGTGAGAGACGACAGAGTGCGGTATGGAGCAGCCGGGTGTTGTGGGAAGACAGGAATGGAAAGAGGCAGGGTACAATTGCAAGAGGCATGGTAAGATGGGAAAATGTGGGGTACAGTGGGGAGAGGCAGAGTATGGTGGGAATAGAAAAGGTATGGTAAGAAAAGGTAGAGTAGGTGGGGAAAAGGGGGGTGTGGTGGAAGAGACAGGGTGGGATGGGTGGAGAGAATGGTATGGTGGTAAGAAGCAGGGTACGATGGGAAGAGGCCACAAGGAAGAGGCATGGGGTGGGAAGAAGATGAGAATAGGCAGGGTACAGTGGGAAGAGGCAGGGTAAGTAAGGTAGTTATTTTATTTATTTAGTTATTCATAATTATACAGAAATACACTCACTGTACAAACACGAAACACCGTGGTAACCAGACTACTCATACTTGCTATTATACTGGAATGCTTAACAATAACTTTATTGTTATCGTATGGTGTTGACTTGAAAAGTTCAATAAAGTACGCTGTACGAAATAATAAATAATCATGCAGAATATTTTTTCTTATTTTTGGTAATTTTTTAATAATTGTAATGATTCTCTTATGTTGAAACGGGTATGTTTTTACTTTTACACTGTCGGTATTATTCAATATTGCTATCATGATTTTTTTAAACTGTAGTGATATCAATCTTATATTTGTCTCTTTAAATAATTGATTTCTTTCATTTTCGTAGTGTTCATCAGTCAGCTTCACTTTGCACACTGTACACTTTATAATACACACATCTCGATGTTTGTAGCGCACCACTTCAATTTGTAGAATATGGGCACTTAATTTTGTTAAAGCTGACCTGTGGTTTGTATGTTATATTATAGGCAGGTGAAATATTTGTTATTAAAGGAAACATCAAGCCAAACAACATAATGACCCCTCGAGAAAAAGCTCCACAAATGTAGGAGAATGTAATTTACAGTTTTTCTATATCAATTTTCATTCTCAATTTCTGACAACAAATTATATGATATCATACTCTGCCCATAATCCTTTGCTGAAGAATCAAGATGGCAGACTACATAAATTGATAAAAAGTTGAATATCTAGAGAATAAAAAGTGGTATAAAAAAACTGTAAATTGCCTGTTCTTACATTTGCTAAGCTCTTTTATCTGGGAGTATAATGTTGTTAGCATTGACTTTCCCTTTAACATGTTGTATGTGCGCAATTAGTTTATATGGCTGACCCCTTTATTTTTACCATTATAGATTTTTATTTACTATCGATTTCAAATGACTTTTTAATTCCTCGGTAGTCATGTTATTATTATTAGTGTGACTGTTTTCTATAATATATCCTTGATCTCCAGGCGACCTAAATTTTATTACAACCCAGTAATTGTTGTCTCGTCTACAACAGGGGATTTCTTATGTTTTTTAATTATTGATAGCGGGGATGAATGTCTAGTTGAGAAATATTATGGTCTAGTCTAGCAATTGTTTTTTTTTCTAATTCTTTCCCAATGTATCTGATCCGTTCTTTTTTAGGTTTTTTAAGTGTTCTTGTCACTTTTGATTAGCAGATTTTTATTGTCATTATTGTTTTGACTTTCTTCCAATATATTTATCAGTTCAAATTCTCACCAGGATATGAAATGCTGATTGTATATAGCTTGGCCAGCGAGACTTTCTTATAGTTTCTTCTCTTTTTTTTACAATGTGTAAATATTTTCGATTTAAATTGTAAATTCTATTCCGAACTCTTTATTGCATGGATTACGAGATAATTTGAACTTCTTTTTTGAGATTCACTAGTGTAACACTATTGTATATTTTGGGGGTATTTTTTTATTTATTTTCCTATTTGTGTGTTTTCTATAGGTTTTTACTAGTTATTAGAGATTAAATCCGTTACTGTATTTACTGCCTGTTGTGCATTGTTAAAGTCATTGGCAGCATTAAAAGTATCCATTAAACTGCTTGCATGGCAAGGCTTTAATAAAAAATATAAATGTTGATACTTCAAATCATGTACGAATATTGTTTAACTACCATCTGCAAATGTAACACTCTTAGAGTTCGTTAAAGCATTTGATATTTGTAAAAATAATACAAACATCAAGTTTGCGGTGAAAACAAATACAAAAAAGCTTTATTTCGTAAATCCTTAAATACATGCATAGATAATGATTGAATATGGATATCAAGGAACACGTACATTAATCACGTGACGTCAACTGTAAACTGATACGTCACAACAAGCTATTACAGTCAATGAGTGTCAGTTATCGCGCCCTCGTCGACGGATTCGCATGCTGCATGTGTCCGAGCGAGTCCGTCTTTGAGGGCGTAATAACATGCACCAACAAAATCAATCTCGTCTGTGTACTCGAGTTTTGAAAAAGGGGCTGACCGTTTGTTTTTGTTTCTTGTTTAAGGTAAATAAAGACTTGCAAATCGGATCTAAGAGAGGTAAATTAAGTTTAAAATTTTCAACAACTTACGCCCATGAACAGCGTGTAAAAGGAGTGTACTAGAGCTTGAATAATAGAATTGTGCATATACGTGGGCAGAGTTCAAACATCAAATGGTCTGCCCCAATGAAATAAAAAAACAATGAACTACTGAACACGAATGTTATTCTTATACAATTATTTACGGAAAGATATTGCACAAAGTTTATGAAAAATTTATGCAAATTACAGAAAATGTAGCCGCAATACCTAGAGATACGAAATTTACGTTAATAAGTAATTATATCAATTTAAAACAATTTAGTAAGTGAATAAACTCAACACTCTGGCAAATCTTTCTAGTCTAGTCTGTAGGGCGCCATCTACGTGGGTTGGTTTGTAATGCAATATAAACGAGAGTACAAGTAAATATACAGGCAATTAGTAAAATGGTGCGTGGTGGCAATATTTTCAAATAAATATGATTAACATTTATTATATTATGTAATTAAGATAAACAGTCTAGCGATGCTGGTCGTCAATTGTTTGTAATGTCCAAGCGTCCCATTTGTCACGCAGTGCGTTCAAATATTTTACACGCGTTGTAGACGTCATGTTTAAGATGACGCGGCGCAACGACTGCTGCGATTTAATATACAATGTACAAAAGCGCTGTTCAGAGCACTTAGTTTCAATACAACAAAGCAGAATACGCATCCAATCGCATGGCAAGCTGAAATAACAATAGACCAGCGTAATGAACAGTTACCCCATTCATGCTTATATAAAATATTTCAATAATTACTGAGATAATTAATTATTCATTATCATAACCCCTATGTTTAAGCTCATTTTGTATTAAGTAAGGTGCATTATAACTCAAAACACTGGAGATTTGTAACTACATTATATAATGATGGAAAAGTTGTTTACGATTCTACAAATAAGTGTTTCTTTCACATTTTTTTTCCCTTTCCATATCGTATTCGTATACATCACTTGCTCAGTGTCAACTGACTTGGAACGATCGCCAGGGGGAGCACTTTCGTTTCAAATTCTTATAGTCCAGACAAGGATTGAAGACCTGCTTCAATTCAGAACAAAAAATGTCTATGACACTATATAAAAACAATAAGTCGGGAAAACTGCCCTAAACCACGTCGTGTAAATGAAATAAACTCCCATTCAGCCCTTAGCTAGATAGTCACTTTTTCTGGGTCACATTAGGAAGTGCCGAAGGTATGCCTATACGTGCTTTTGACTCGTCCACTTTGTAACCGTTGCGTATTCATCTGTCCACCGTAAGACGATTGCTGTATTTGTAACGGGATTTTAAACTCACGATTGCCTATCTCCGTATTGGATGGCACATCAATTCGTAAGTTTGTCATCACGCTACTCGTTGACTTCTTCGGCTGAAAATGCTTAACGCGTCTGATAACGATAACGTTGCCGCCCTCTTCGGTATCGATTTCGGTTTTGAAAGTCGCGGCGTTATCTTCGTTGATTTCTTGCATTACTCGCGGTGATTGTGTGATCGTTATCGGTATTTCTCTGCTATTCGTTGATATATGTCTAGTTACCACAGGATTATCTGTAGTTAGTATTGGTATACTCCTAGTTACGATTGGTATGTCTGTTGTTATGTATGGTGTGTATCCGGTTGTCACGGTTGTCAGCGGTATCTCTCTGGTTATCAGTGGTGTAGTTCTGGCGTGTAATTGTATCTGCTTAGTTTTATCTGAATGGTCTACATTACCGATCTGTGTTTTAAACGTAGTTGTAACGCGCTCAGTTTTAGACGTCTCGCCTTTGTCTCTGCCCTGTGGCATATTTGCATTTTCATCGCGAGACTCGACTTTACTCTCATCATTACTTGTGGGTAGCTTTTTAACACTTTTTACCACGATTTTGAGACATTTTGAACTTTTTGTTGATCCATCCGGCATTTGCTTGAGTCTATTTTCTTTAACAAACATAAAATCGCCATATTTTGCACCTTTTGGTACCGCTGATTTAGGTGAAGGAGCATCGTCGGTGGACTTTTCTGTCTGTTGTAATTCCTTGAAAAGATTTTGTACATTGTTCGTCTTTGCTGACAGCACTACTTTAGATGCTGACAACTGTTCAGTCTGGGCGAGAGGTTCGCAAACGCGGGCAGGTGGATATTCCTTGGCGCTGTGTGTTTCCGCGTAAGGATCGCTACCAACACAGTGACGGCGTTTGGGGGACACCTCCTCTTTCTGCTTCAATTCTTCTGGAGTTAAGCTCCACCGTCTTCCTATTCCATATCGCCTTGGAAATGGTAAAAATTTCGGACGATTATCGTGTATTCTCATTTCTGGCGGACAACTATGCTCACGGCGATAGACTTGACTACGAACTGGTTGCATGAGAACACCCGTATCGCGTGGTATGTCAATATCGGGTGAGATGATGTTAGCAATTTGTGGCGCCGGGGTTCTTCTTTGTTTTATTTTGGACGTGATTGTCGTCCGTGAAGGTTTCTTCATGCCCCTCACAGGATGCATAAGTTGAAAACCTTCATCCATTGATAATGATCTCAGGAATCTTTCTGACGGGGAAAGATGTTCCTTTTGAAGTTCTGTGTCGTTTATGTATTTCTTCCTACTACGCCCTCTGCCACGAGACGGAGTCAGTAGTTCGTCGTCAGATTGTGCCGATGGTACGACAATGGCGGTTCGTGGTACACTCGTTGGCCTGTCGTGGTGAATTTTACTATAAACCGCTTCAACAGGTACATAATCTTCTTTTTTATCTCGAACTTCCTCGGAATGTTTCATGTCGATTTTTTTTTCAGATTCTCGAGGTGGGTTATTCAACCCTTCATTGTCGATTAGCGAATAGGGCGCTACTTTATTGATCTTACGTGGCAGCGATTTGCTGGTATTTTTCTCATTTGATGATTTCTCATCTGTATTTTGTTTATCTTTCCACCATCTCTTGAGCTCCCTAACTTGTGTGGCAAGTTGTTTTCTGTCCGGTTCATGCGATTCTTCAAGTCGATTTTCAACACCTTTTTCAGAAATGACGATTTTCCCCTTTAAGTTGACATGCTGTTGTTTCTGTAAAAACTTATTAGCGACTAGGTTCTTGGCCACCGGACTTGATTTTTGGTGGTTGTGACGATGATGATGATGGTGAATGGGGCATTTATTTTTATTATTTTTGTCTGTGTTTTCTTTAATTTTATTGTCAAATATTTTCCGGCGTTCGGCGACTGGCAGCCTGATCAATAACTGTTCACTGTCCTCTCGCTCGTCACTTTTTTTGTCGACGTCCGGAATTTTCACCGGTGATTTTACATTCTCAGTTTTCTGTTTTATTTTCACTTTTTCTTCTTTGGGTTCACTTTTCTGCTGCGTGTCCGTCAAACTCTTTGCCTGAAAAGCAGCCTTCAGCTCGCGGACACTCTTTGATCTCTGGATCTCGGGTTCTTCATCAGGAGCAATTTCATCTGTGGAGATGTCGTCCACTTCGACTTCTGTCTTTACTGATTCATCTTCAGTCGTATCGCTGACGTCATGACTATCATCAGCTGATTCCGAACTTTTTCGTTCTAGTATGGGGCTCATCGGTGATGGAGGTACATCATCAATTGACGTTTCTACAATAGGACTTAATGGTACTTTATCGTTTTTAATACGTTTCTCTTCTTCTCCCTTGCGTTCAAACACCAGTGTTGGTATAAAGGGCCCTCCCTTGGGTTCGTGGTGTCCAGGGGAGTTTTCGTACACAGGACTCAGTCGTCGCCGTCTCCATAAAGCCGCATCTTCTTCACTTTCGAATTGTTTACTGTCATTTTTCGCTCTCACGTCACCATGGCTTTCGCTATTATCTTTCTCGGCGACGCCACTACTGTGGGTTTCGGCGAAGTTGAAGAAATTGTCCCGCTTAGTATCGTCTGTCTCGTCATCGCTCTCGGAAAGCGATGACGAGGAAGAACTTCTGGATGAACAAAACGATTTGACACTTTCAACACTTTCAGTTGGAGAGGGGGGACAACAAGCACACCTGCCATGATGATGTGAAGGTTCATATTCATCCTCGCTGGAACTCCGGATGTCAATACTGGAATCGTAGTTATCTTCCTCGCCGCTGATTGGTGGAGATATATATAGACTGCCGGGCCTCATTGGTCGGCCGTATGAAGAGTCTGACCGGGAATAGTAACCAGAATCTAACGAATTTGTAGGACAACTTGCTCTTCTGAGTTCCCTGCTTCTGTCTTCTGATATATAGTCGAAATCATCGTCTAATGAACCCGCAGAACTCGGGTTGGTTGTTTGACTATCGTCATCTGATTCGTATTCAAATTCTACGTCACTAACGTCGCTGAGGGCGCCAGAGTCTTTCATTTCATTAAATGTTCTGAACATCGTTGCAACTTGGCGAGAAAGGGTGTCACCGGAGGCACGTAGTCCAACCTTCAAAAATAAAAACAAAAACAGAATGAGAACAAACTATTGTTTTGCTTCACCACAATATTGTCATAATAATATCATTGCATGGAGCGTAACTGTGAAAAATGTTTGTTGTTTTAGCAGCGTGGAATGGGCCACACGAAAACTCCGAGTCCAGGATTCAGTGAGACTTTAGGCCCCTTGATGAGTGAGAAGCAATTGTTTACTCTGAGAATCGAGGATTCACTGTAATTTATAGTTGTCTGTGTGAACAGAACATGTATGTCTGCTGCTAAATTGTCAACATACAGTAAAGTATGATGTGATCTTTGACATTACAACGAACTATTAACTCTCAACAAGTGCCAACGTGCCAGGCAACCTAAGGTTACCCGTTGCGTTGACAACAACACTGGTACCAATTTCAAGACTGACGACACACACGATGAGCTGGTTTCAAAAAATATCAGTGACCTTTGTGACCTTGATTAATGTAGAATTACTTCTCAATTTTCTCTTATATTCTGAAGATAGACAAGAAGAAGTTTCCAATTTTCAAATAATTTGTAATAAAATGGATGCCAGGAAGAGTAATTAAATTATTTCGCACTAAAGTTGTGACACAAGTTGCATTTATATTGTATTTTGTCCAAATTCGTCGATATTGTGAAACATATCAGACCTTTTGTTGGTGTTTGACACTCGTGATATTCTGTGTGATTTATTTCTGTTCATTGTTAGTAGTTGGTTAACAGAACGAACAAGATGGCGGAGTTGCTGACATACTCGGACAAACATACCACGTGCCAAAAAAGTGTGCTTTATTAATAACAATGTGAATTTTTACATCCCAAGAGGATAATTCTGAATTGGGTAAATGGATTTAGAGAAGAAGTTAAGACCGCGGTAATATGTATGGTCACGTGATAATGTCGTAGCCATATCTATGATATAATATCACACATCTCCCCAATACAGTCCGGTTTGTACGTACTCATTAGTATGGACTCAAATACGAATAGAAAATTTTGGCATGTTCACTTCAGTTAATTTAATTTAATTACGTGAAACATAGTTCTTGATTAGTAAACTACTTAAGATCATTACTAGGTACAAACGATTAAATGAATGTCGTCTTTTATACTCGTTTATCACATCCACGGACTGGCTCCATCGAGTTAGTTAAACCGATTTTACATCCGTCATTAAACACATTATATCGGGGATATATGTGAAAATGTTGTAATGTAGGTAATGCGAGGCAATGAAAACTGGACGTTAAGTTATGAAGTTGTCATCTTAAATTGCAAAAGCATGTGTACATACATAATGGTACAGGGGGGAACATTCACATATCACGGAATGGTTCCACGTGCAGAAGAAGAATGTTAGCAAAGTAGCAGGAATGTCCACAAGTTGACCTTTCATGACCTAACAAGGATAGGTGCCAGGCGACTTGCAATTATATGTGTTGATTTGTATTTTCAGAGTATGGTGACGTGCACGTAATGACACCATGGCGACATGGCTGGATCCAACAAGTTCAAAACGTGACGGTGACGATCATGTTATCAAAAATGCGTAGATATAAATACCACAGATCGTGCGATCAATCAAGCTTTTATTATTAAGCATGTTATTTTATCATTATGAACAAACTATTCACAACGAGTCCAGCTAGCTAATATAACTAACAACTAGTATCAGCAACATACTAGTCATTAACCGCTAAAAATGCCTACCATAAGAACTTCCCTTCGGAATTGCCGATCCCTATCCTCGAGAGTTTTTTTCCCAAAATCGACATCTGGAGAAACTTGTGTCACTATGACAAAATTGAAAAAGACCAGGACATGAAATCTCGTTTGGTTTTTTGTTCGTTTTAGGAATGAAATATTAAAGTTAATAACGGGTGGCTCACATTGCACATGTGATATCCGAATAAATTCTTTAAGCATTTCGATCATACACCATCTGACTAGATGAGAGCAGTGGAATGGGTAACCGGACACCGAGGTATTATTGCGCACAACATATCGATCGTAATAAATTGGGGTTATTTTTAACTCTCAGGTCGGGCGATGTCACGCCCCGGAAGGTGGTTCCAAGCACACGACGAAAATTGTAACGTACCGTGCAGATATTTGTTTATTTGAGGTGCAATACGGAAATATTTACTCGGCGGCGAAGACAGTTAATTATCGACTGATATATCGTAAAAGAGTTCTAAAAATAACATAATGGAATGTTTAAACAGAGATGTGATCTAACTTATTATACACAATATCACCATTAACGACGGGTTAAAGGTCAAATTGAAATAAATGTTTGCCAATACGTATAGGGTGATGATTAAATTTATAGCCAGAATTTAATGACCTGATTTTTTTTAATAATGTAATGTACTCAAATCTTTTTAGAAAGTTGGCACAACATTATATAATACCCCGTTTTTCTGAAATCATTCAGGATAAGATATAACACTATCTGTCATAATTATTCCACTCTGAGTCGAAAGCTAAAAATTGAGATAATATAATATCTTCACTATAGTAACCCATGGTAATACAGACAATTTGGCCGTGACTCCATAACATATAACCAGCACAATACGCTAATCATGACAATAAACTTATTATGGCCGAGAGACTGAGTACAGTTTATTGGATACTGGTTTGGTATTTCCATTCATAAGGCCTTCTACCTTGATGCAAGATAGAAATGTCTACACATAGGCCAGGGTACTGTTTTATTGATAAGACTAATGCGTCTCATTTATAGACAATTTGTGATAAACTTGAGACAAACCACCCACAGTTGATTGTCAAATGCGTTATATATTGCCAGTGCCAGAGTAAACTGCTATTTTTTTTATTGTATTGTATATTATAGTATTGTATTCCGTGACATTTTTAAATAGAAGTAAGTAATTCCCCATTTAAAAATGGCGAATGAGTGGCTATGACAACTATTTCGACGCTGATGTCACTGCGGGGGTACAGTGTTCGTCAGAGGTGACCAAATAGATATTAACCGCAATAGCCAAGTAGACATACTACATTTCCTTTGTACAATAGGGTACTGGTTCCTTCTATTCTACACCTTTCTTTAATATTTTAACAATTTCAGTTTGTTCATGATCGCTTCAATCAACGGGAACCAAAATGGCAGCCATCAG